CCAGGGCCAGTGGAGCTGAAAGGAAACATCTGTGCAGAGAGAGTGTCTGTTGTGGGGACCGGCTCCATGCTGGGCCAGTGTTCCAGTTGTTTGGGCTGATGTGGGTGGAGCGCCCGGAGCTTGTTTTATGTAACTCAGACCTCCAACAGCTTTGGAAGGGGCAGAAAAGGAAGGGAGAAGAAAACACTTGGAAACTGAAATGTGCCTTTAGAGCCCTCTTCCTCTGATTTTTCGAGTGCCTCTGGCTTTGTTATGAGGATTTTTCTTTGTGCAGGGAAATTGGTATGAAGAGTCTGAGCCAGAGGGTAACCGGATAATTCCTTGAGGGCGGGTCACTCAGGAGCTAATGCACTCATTCTCCTGGCTGAAACCCCGCCCACTTGCTGCACCACCACCAGTGGAAGTCTCCTGGACAGTGCCAGCGGGAGGTCATTGGTGCAAGGAGGATGAGGTCCACATGACTCGTCCAGCATTCTCAGGGGATCCATTGCAGTTGTCTGAAATGGTGGTTCACAGCCAGGCAGGGAGAGTTGGGGGCAGACAAGAGGGCCTGGAGAGTAACAGCCACAAACTCAATGTTGGCCACAAATGAGGTGCGGTGGCTACAAAGAGCCCATGCACTGTGTGCTTTCTGGATAGAGGGTCCAGTCTCCCCCCAGGAGGCACAGACCAGCCCCCAAGAACATGTTTTGTTCTGAGATCCATCCCACAGTGAGGATGGTAACAAGTGGAAATTTATCTAAAGATGACTTTCGGGGCTGGGGCTGGGGCTCAGCGGTAAAGCACTTGCCTTGCATGTGTGAGGCACTGGGTTCGATTCTCAGCACCACGTGTAAATAAAATAAAGATCTATCAACAACTAAGGGAAAATTATTAAAAAAATAAATAAAGATGACTTTCAAGAAGGTTAAAGGAGTCCAGGGACCATGTCATGGAGGAACAGTTGGGAAGAAAGGGAGAAGGAACCTGAAGAAGGGACAGAGAAGGACATAAGAGGCCAGTGGCTGGCCTCTCCCATGCTCCAGTGTTGTTTGGGCTGATGTGGGTGGAGCGTGCCAGGGACTGCTGGGTGATGTTTTAGAGGCTGACCCTAAGCCAACATGGGGATGTCTGTCAGGGTCAGTGGAAAGGGTCCATCCCATATCAAGAGTATAGTTTTAACACACAAATATAACACTAGGTGACGTACTATTCACCAGACAGATGTTATTTCTGAAACACCATCCTGTGCGCACTATAGTTGGCTATTGCCGATGCTGGTTTAAAGTCAGGCGACACTTCTCTCCCTTAAAACTCTTGGTGTACCTTTGGGCTGTGCAGACCCTTCTTGGGAGACAAGCCAGTCCTAAATCTGAGGAGGCTCCGAGACAAGACACTTCTTACCCTGGTAAGTCTTTTATTTTTTCCAGTACTGAGGCGCTAACCCAGCCCCCACCCCCATGCTAGGCAAGCGCTCTATCACTGAGCTACACCACCAGCTCTTGTTATTTTATTTTGAGACAAGGCCTTGCTAAGTTGCCCAGGCTGGCCTTGAAATCAAGATCCTCCTGCCTCAGCCTCCTGAGTAGCAGGGATTACAGGCATGGGCCACCATGCCTGGTTTTATATAAGTCATTGTAACAGCGCACAGTGGACCCCCAGGTGCTCGTAGAGGAGCTCTGTGGCATGCCCGGGCACACACAAGCCCTGCAAAAATCTGCTGCTGAGACCAAAGACATTGCCCTTTGCTTCATGTAAACCCCAAATCCAACCTCCTTCCTGAAGGTGAAAGTTCCCTTACTGGAGCAAGTAGAGAAGAGTCACATTCCCCCATGAATGTGTGACCCCATGTGCTTAGGGGTCCAATGTGGGACAGAGGGGGCCCCTCAATGCAGAGTGTGTTCTGATCACAGCCTCCCAGCTTGGTTCTCCAGTGGCCTCCCATTTCCTCCAGGTTCATGTCCAAAGTCTTTAATGTGATTCCACATCCCCACTTAATCTCCAGCCTTCTGTCTTCCCATTGCCATTCACTCTGGGGCTCAGGATCTAGGGTGTGTCACACTTTCATGCGGGCTGTGAGCCTTTGCTCCTGCATTCTCAGCCTGGAGCACTGTCCACCTTACTCCCTTCCTCCTCTCACCTGGCCCAGCCGCACACAGGTGCCCTGCCCTACCCTGGCTGCATTAGGTGCCCCGCCAGACCCCACAGCAGACCCACAGTGCAGTGTGGAGCCTTTGCTCACATTCCTAGGACCTAATGCAAGCCGGGTACATTGTTAAATGCACGAGGAACCCAGTGCTTCGGCAGTTCCAGGTGTGTCCTGAACCAGCAAAACTCTCTTGTCCCCATGTGATGGAACACAGCAACCCTGCAGGGGGTCCCAGTTTTCTGAGTCACCACAACAGCTTTCCTGGGACCTCTTCCCCAACATATCTAGGGCAGGGCCTCCATCATTGGCACCTCCTTGTAAATTTGGACCTCGGGCTGCCTCATGCTTGAATGGCACACTCCTTCCATTTCTTCTATGGACTATAACAGCTGGGCCAAGATGAGAAAGCTGGGACAGCAAAGGAGTTACTTTAAAGAGAGAACATGAACTTCCCCTTGTCATCTGCTACCCACCCAGAGTTCCTGGAAGAAGGCTCTTTGCTAGGTTATGTAATTGTCAGGCCTCAGACTGAGGGCCCAGCTGCAAACACAAAACCCTCTCCTACTCCCAGGATGTGGGAGGTGGTGCCTGGGTTCTTAAAGGGCCAAGAGAGTGCTGTGCTCTCTACTCGGGACTTCTACCCTGGACACCTCCACAGTGTAAGAAATCACATCAGGTTCCTTCTCCTGGAGCCTGCAGAACAGACCCTCCTGATGGATAGGGTGGCCCTGGGAAGTCACGGAAAGGCTGAATTGTCTTCTTTTTTCTTTGAACAATCTCAAACAGAAAATCTGCAATTACAAGACAAAGAACATTTTCCCCCTAAACCATTCACCTGTAAACTGTTGACCTGGTTGATCAAAACCCGGATGATAACAGGCCCCATCACTTGTCCTGATTGTGTGTGTCCTGAGAGTGGAAGGGTCCAGTCCAGAATCATACATTGCATTTAGTTCTGTGTCTTCTCTTCTCCAATCTACACTGGTCCTGAGTGGGAGCTGGGCTGTTCTGAAAGTTACTAGCAGGCATTGAGTAGAACGCCCCTCAATTTGGACCTGTCTCTGTCTGGCAGGGTGTGATTCTGTGCACTCCCAGCACACTACCCCTGTGTGCTGCCCCGTGTTCCATTGCTGTAGACATTTACTTTGGTCCCTTGATTGAGGTGATGTCTGCCACACTTCTCCACTGAGAAATTGCCCTCTTTCTCTTTGTAATGGAGAAATATTTTCAAATACATCACAATGAATCCCACCATTTTGTATGCTTAGAATGCACCAGTAAAAAAAAAATTAAAAATAATATTTTGTGAGTAGATACTTTGAGAGCAAGTCACCATCCCATTGAGGAATTCTCCTGTTTATTTATATGAGTGTGTGCTTTGGGTTTCCTATTTTAGTCTGCTACTATCACTATCTTGGTGCTCAATTTGTCTCTGGTTTTGGCCACTGGAAGTTCCTGGCTCTGTGCTCCGCTGACGTGTCCCTATCAGTTTTTAAACACTCCCTTGCTTTCTGGCAAAACAACATGTTCTGGGCTCCTTTTCTGCTTCCCCTGTCCTGTCTTGGAATCATCCATTTCTCCAAGATGCTCTGATTCCTTGAGTGGAAAGTGTGTTTGGGAGCCAGTTCTTGAGATGCACGAAGGCTCCAGGCTTTGGAGAACTTGTTGCTTCAAGGCCCTCCCGGTGACAGCTGGGGAGCAGACACATATACACGTTGACATCTGGATTCAGGGGTTTATCTTTATATGTTCAAGTCCATACCATCACTCTGATTTTAATCCTTTTGTGTTAGCTTTTTGATGCTGTGACAAAATACATGAGAAGAACAACTTAAAAGAGGCAAGATTTATTTGGCTCCCAGTTTCAGAGGTTTCAGTCCAAGGTCAACTGGCTCCATTACTTTGGGCTTGAGGTGAAGCAGAACATTATGGTGGGGAGGGTGTGGTGGAGGACAGCTGCTCAGCTTGGCAGCTGGAAAGCAGAGACAGGGAGGGAGCGAGGTGGAGTGGGAGAAAAGGGCAGGAAACAAAATATGTTCTCCAAGAGCACACTCCCAGGGACCTGCTCCCTTCAATTAGTCACCCCCTCCTACAGTTTCCACCACCTCCCAATAATGCTGACAGTTATGAATCCAAGAATGGATTAATCCATTTATGAGACCAGAGCCCCCATATCCAATCACGTCCAAAGCCCCACCTCTGAATACTGCTGCATTGAGGAACAAGCCTTTAGCACGTGAGCCTTTGGGGAGACATTCCAGATGGAAATCATAACACCCACTCCATAGGATTCATTCTAGTTTTTTCTTTCTCCATATGCATAAATCCTCTCTTTGGCAAGGAGAAACCTGGCTCCCCTTCTCTTTAGTAGACTCCCATCTCGGCCACCATCCTCTCCCCAACCAGACCCTGCCCCCTTCACTTGGACCCAGTGCTCCACACAGGGCCTTTGCTTTCCCTGGGGAAGCCTCCCTCCACCCTGCTGGGCTCTGACACCCCGCACCAGGTGTTGAGAGGACATTCCTCCTGCTTCCTGACACCTGCCCTGGGACACTATGATCCTCCCACCATGATTACTTCCTTCTCCCCTCTCTCATGGCTCCTGGACAGGATTGATGAGGAAGAACATATGTCTTTGAAGAAGACTTCTCTTGTGTTTTTTAACCCAAAGAGACAAAATAAGCCTAACAAACATTCTAGACCAACCAGTGAGCCCCAGACCACCCAGTCCCTTCACAGCTGGGTAGCTTTGGCAAATCTCTTCACTTCACTGAGGCTCAGCTTCCTCAACTGTAGAAATGACATGGTGCTGGTGTGAGGTTTCCGTGAGCTCACACCAGTGGACAGTGTGGCCTGCTCTGGCCCCAGGAGACTGCTCAGCAGATGTGAGCTGTGAGGTTGATAGTGCATTTCTCAGAATCCTTAAAAAACGATGACTCTCTTTTGGAAGGCAGGGCCAGGCTGTGGAGTGGGTGTTCCTCGGGCAGCACAGCTCTGCGGCTCCCAGGCCGTCCTCCTTTTGCAGGATTTTTTTTTTTTTTTTTGGCATGCTTGCAGCCAAGTCTTGGGAGAGTTTCCCGGACAGAGGTCCTTGTGGCCGCTGCCTTAAGACTTGCGGCCGAGGCTGCCACTGCTTTCTGACCCAGGCCACTGCAGGCAGCAGTCCCCACACACACAGCATGGAGCTCTGGGGAGCCTACTTACTCCTCTGTCTCTTTACTCTCCTGACCCCCATCACTGCTGAGTCGCCAACCCCCAAGGTCAAGAAGGCTGTAAATGCCAAGAAAGGTAAGCTGGGGATCAGGGCCCCTCCCCATCTTCCAGGAAGCAGGTCACCCCTCCTTTGTGTGACCTCATGTTCCTTCCTTTCATTTCCTCCCTGATGGGTCGTCCTGAGAACTTCGGTGAAGTGCCCTTTGGGGGCTGAAGGAGTTCTTTCTCTCTCTCTCTCTTTTTTTTTTTTTTTTTTTTGGTGCTGGGGATTGAACCCAGGGCTTTGTGCATGTGAGGCAAGCACTCTACCAACTGAGCTGTATCCCCAGCTCTGCAGAGTTCTTTCGAGGGGGAGGGGTGTTTGCCAGAACCATAAGGGTCCCAGACTCTTAAAATTGGAAAGAACCTTCCAGATCGTCTGAACTGACATCTGCTCCCCAACTCCTCAGACTTTTAAAGAAACCAAACCTTTGGTTTGGGAGTGTGGAGATGCTCAACTCCCACGAGGGGGTGCTGTGAGTTTGTGCTTTGTAATCTCAGGACCTTGGTTTTCTCAACTGTAAAATGGGGAGAGTAGTAGTTGCTCAAAGGTTTGTTGTGAAGATTTGATGATGCTAATTAGGTAAAGACACCTAGCCCAGGGTCTGGCACATCTTCCAGGCAGCAGATCACAGGGCGTGCTTAATGCACAGGGGAAAAGAGGGGACAAGGAATCTCTCAATTCCGTTGGGTGTCACAGCCTGTCTCTGCTGCCTCTGGGGTGTGGAGTGCTCTTAGATTGCCTTGGTTGCAGTGAGACCTGCCCTGTGGCCTCTCCAGCAGTGAGGTCACCCTGGGCTGCTTGGAGACACCAGCTGAATGCGATGGCAATAGATGGAGCTGTTGTCCCACAGGCTCAGAGGCCAGCAGAGAGAGTCCAAGGAGGAGAGGGTGGGGATTTAGGCAGAGAAACAGGCTGCCAGAGCCAAGAGCCCAGCAAAGGAAGGAAAGAGGGTGGGGTATCCTCTGTCCTTCTCCGGCTCCTCTGTAAATGGGACAGTAAGCACATAAAGGTCCATGGGGACCATGGAGCCTGCAATGCTACAACAAAGAATAGGGCAGATTTGGGAACTGCTAGGAAAAAGATTCAGGGGCTTGGGGTGTTATGTGTGGGCCCTGGGTTCCATCCCCAGAACTGCAAAAAAAAAAAAAAAAAAAATTAAAAATGAATCTCCAAGACTGAGCTTACAAAGTGAACAAAACAGGATGGATACTGTGCTAACATTTATTTTGGAGAAGGGATTTGTGTAAGAGTACACATTAATTGTATATGCATAGAATTTTTCTGGAGGGATCCACAAGAGCAAATAACAGTGGCTACCTCTGGGAAGGCAAACAGGTTGTGAGGGAGACTTTAACTTTTTGAATGGTTTGAATTTTTAAATTATATGCATGCATAACCTTTTACCAAATATCCATTTAAATGAGATGGTTAATATCCATGAGCATTAGTCAGTGGGTCACCAGGGGAGATTCTTTGTGAAGGAGGCAGCTCAGAGCAAATAAGAGAATTTCCTTGCTTTTAAAAAAATTTTTTTTTTTTTTAGTTGTAGATGAACACAATACCTTATTTTACTTATTTATTTTTATGTGGTGTGGGGGATTGAACCCAGGGCCTCACATATTCTAGGCAAGCGTTCTACCACTGAGCTACAACCCCAGCCCCAGGAGAACCTTCTTTCTTTCTTTTTATTTTTATTTTTTGCACCAGGGATTGAACTCAGGGGCACTTGACCACTGAGCCACGTCCCCAGCCCTATTTTGTATTTTATTTAGAGATAGGGTCTCACTGAGTTGCTTAGCACCTCCCTTTTGCTGAGGCTGGCTTTGAACTCACCATCCTCCTGCCTCAGCCTCCCAAGCCCCTGGGATTACAGGCGTGGTTCACTGTGCCTGGCCCCAGAAGAACTTTCTAGTGTAGAAAATAGTTGCTAATTCCTCAAGTTTACTGAAGATTTGGTATGTGTTTATTTAATTTGTAATTCATGTCTTCAGCGGTGTAAAAGGAGAGAGTGAGAGAAGGCAAGGCCTTGGTCCTTCCCTGCTGACATACGGGCCTCTGCTCCAGCGGTCTCCATGCCTTGGAGGCCCAGGCCTCGGGAGCCCTCACAATAGCACCAGAGCCCACCTCAGCGTTTTGACTCTAGTTGGATTTTCTTCCTTCCAGTCACCTACACAGCGAAGCCCACGGAGCTGTCCCTCTGTGCTAGACTGATACACACACAGTAGCCTGGGAGTGTGGTCCCTGCTCTTAGGATGGGAACTGGGGTGGTTTTCACTCAAGCAGCAGCAGCCTGAAATGGGGGGTCATGTTAAAATCCAGGTGCTGGCCCCCCCCAACAGAGATTCCCGCTCAGGGTTGTAGTGGCCCCACCATCTGCCTTTCCCAAAGGTCTCCAGTGATTCCCAGGACTGAGTCTTAGCAGCCACCTTGTTATGGGGCTGCACACAGACATAGGGGATGGTCAGGCCCCAGAAGACCACTTGGTGCCCAGGCCTCGAGGTAGAGAACACCTCGGCAGGGCTGGCGAGAGGAGGGAAGGACAGTGTGGGTTAAGGCCCTGCCCTGCCCCCAGGGTGAGCAAGAAGGGAGGCCCGGGTGTTTCTGGGAGCTCACCTACTCCTCCTGTGGCCTATGACCTGGCTGCTGATGGATGTCAGCCTGAGCTGGGGCACACAGGGTGGGCTCAGGGCTGGAGCTCCATGGGCCATGTGGCCACAGCTGGCCCAGGAGTTTGGGAGGGCAGAATGTCCTCATAAGGGTCACAGCCCTTAGAACAGGGACCCGGGGTAACTTGGAGGGCATTCACTCCAACAGCGCACATCAGAAACTCAAGCCCTGGAGGCAGAGGGGCAGCACCCAGCCCCCTGACTGCTTGCCCAGACTGTAGGGACACCCCTAACTCCCACACCTTCCTCGGTTAGCTCCTTGCTCTGTGGTCAGTCCCTGGAGGATCTGACACATCCAGGCATGTTTACACAAAGTATGAAAGGTACCCCCTTTGAACTGACAAATTATTAAATTATTATTAATTAAAGGCACCTCTTTTTCTGGTCTGACCCAGCCTAGCCAGGACAAGGCTTAGGACCTGCACATGGACCTCAGCTGAAACCCTTGTGCAGTACCCAACTTGCACAACCTCACATGGTGCCCTGTGCTGGTGCATTAGATGAGTGGGTCCAGAGCTGCTGTGAACTCAAAGGCTGAGTCAGAGGCTGGGGGTGAGGCACATGTCACCCCATTGCTAGTTTGCCAGGCCCCCAGCCCTCTCTTTTTGCCTTGCTCATCTGGGTGTTTCTTTCCTCGTGTTTGACAAGCTACATCACTAATCTCTGTATATAATAAGTCAGTGTGTTGCGTGCAATTTCCCTGCAAAGGCTCTGATGGGTGGACAAAGGCTCTGACCTCAGCCCTCGTGAATGTGGACCGTAAACAGACAAAGCCAAAGCCTTTCCCCACCCTCTACCCGGAGCTCAGCGCAGCCCTTACAGAAGCCCCTGGGGTTTCAGAAAGACTGGGGTCCACCCAGAGATCTCTGAACTCACACACACGCACAGATCTGTGTTCCCGCCTGCCCCTGCCCACGCACCACACACATAACCAGCTCCCAACAGGTCGGCTCCCAGTTATAGAAGGCTGGCCTCAGTTTCCCCATTTGTGAAATGCTGGTGTTATAGAACGACACATTTCCCAAGGCATGAGGTTGACAGCACCACACCATGGCACATGGGAAGGTCGAGCCTAAACCTGGCCTGCAGCGGTCACTAGCGCACTGGCGGCTAAACATGAAAACCTGGTTTCTTCCACTTGTGCACATGTAACTGGATGGGCGCACCTCTGTGCTAAGTGGGAGCTAGGTGGTTCCAGGCTTACAGAGTCCTCTGAGCTGGATTGTTATCCTCCCATTTTATAGATGAGGAAACAATCCAAAGAGGCTGAGCAATTTGTCCCAGGTCACCCATGTCTGCCACCTGCCAGCCCCTGCAAATGGTGGCATTCTGTTCCTTTGTCCCCGGGCTGAAAAGCCTGTCCTGCTGTTCTGTGCTCCTTCTTCCAGCTTAGGGAAGTGGTCTTTAGGCTCTCAAGGGCCCTTGTCCCTGCTCCCTATGCTCTCAACTCTTCTGGAGCTGACAGGGTGGCTGCTCCCTGGCCCCTGCCAATCCCAGCCTCATCCAATCCCCAGAACAAATGGGGACATGGTGCACTGAAGCAGGAGCAAGTGAAGGATGGGTCCCACTGGGGGAAGGGAAACTGGAAGTTGTTGGAGGACCACTACCACGGACAGAGAAAGAGAGAACTCACCCAGAGAGCAAGGCTGAGGGGAGTCCTTTCCCTTGTCCATCTGAAGCTGGTCCTCTCTGCCTGTCCCTTCCCTGTCCTGGTCTCTACTTCCTTCCTCACGTGTTTGTGACTGTCCCCATTTTCTCCTGACTTCATCCTAGATGTCGTGAGCCCAAAGATGCTTGAGGAGTTTAAGAACCGGCTGGACAGCCTGGCCCAGGAGGTGGCCCTGCTGAAGGAACAGCAGGCCCTGCAGACGGGTGAGTGGGGCCCTCTCTGAGCAGGAGCACAGCTGAGAGCCCAGGCTGGTGGCTGTGGCAAGGAAGGTGTCTCTGACTGCCAGCCAGCATCAGGGCCCTGGCTGCATTAGGCCAGGCCTGCAGGCCAGGGCAGCAGGGTCAGGGAGCCCTGTCCCCAGCCCGCTTCCTCTGGAGAGATCCCTGACCAGACCCAACCAGGCATGCACAGCTGTCTCTGCCCACAACAGGGAGGTGTGGCAGTTGAACTGCCCCAGGAGGGCAGGAGGCTCCCCAACAGGAATCATTACTGCCCAGGAGAAGTAGGACCCCCAGGCCACTCCAGGGACAGAGGTGGTGGCCCAACCTGACATAGCTCCCAGGAGACGCTCCACTGAACGGCTTCCGCAGCCCTAGGGCCATGTTAGACTCAAAGTCATGTCAGCAGTGTGACTGGTGCTGTCCCTTTGAGTCATCTGAGGCAGAACTAATCACCTCCAACTGAGCCCAGTGAGGCAGGGAGAGAGCTGCACCCAGTCCCACAGAGCAGGAAGCAGCTGGTCTATGCCATGCTGGGGGTCAGGCTTCAGCCCTCCTGGCTCTGCACTCCCCTGGCCAGCAAAGATGTGTGACATCGCACAGCTGGGGAGTAAGGTCACAGCCACCTGCCCAGCAGCCTGAGGGCTCCATTCTCCATACTCCGAAGTCTCACCCACTCCTCTATGACCTTGGCCTCCAGTCCAGGGAGCAGGGAGACGCAGCGTTCTCACGGGTGGTCATCTACAGTGCCTGGCGCTGTTCCAAGTGTTTAATGCACATTAACTCACTGGCTGAAAACCCACACCGTGGGCCTGCCACTCTGTCACTATGTTCACACCCTTGCTTCCCACCAGGAAGCTGACGACCTTGTCAACAGCCGAGAAGAGCAAAGCCTCCCTTGGCTGTGCTCTGCAGCCTCTCAGTTCCCAGCCTGGGGTCACCCTGACTCCTCCTTAGCAAATCCACAAACCTCCCGGTGTCCATGGCTGCCCTCTCACCAGCAGCTTCTATGACACAGCCCACCCACTTCCTGGGTTCTGGGTCCTTCCCTGCTTTGCCTCCTCAGAAGCCTCCAGGATACTTCTCACAAGGCAGTCTCCCACTCGGATCCTTTCTGCATTCACACTGGCCATCCTGTCCTTTGAAAGTGCCACCCTCTGTCCCTCCTAGTACAGGGTCTTTGCACATGCTGTTCAGGCAGCCTGGGTCGCTCAACAGTCACCTCATACAAGCCTGCAGAGTACCTTCTCAGGAGTCTCTAAGCCCTCATCAAGCAGGCTCCTCAGCTACAGCACTCTCAGAGAACAACGTCCTTTCCTTTGTCACATTGACTGCAGTTGTAACAGTGCACTTGTTTCTAGATTTATATCTGCTCCCCCCCCATTAGACTCTATGCCCCAAGGACACATGCCTCTTTTAGATTGTCTCATCTCCCTCCCGTCCCTGTCCAGCATAGTGTCTGCCACAGATCAACACTCAGTAAATCTTTCTTCAAGGAAAGACAAACACACAACCTTGGACACTTTGCCTAACATGGCAGGTGGGAGAGAGAGAGGATTCTAGAAAAAAAGCATCTCCAGAGACGTCTTTTATTTTAAATAATAGAAACCAGTGACTTCAACAAAATGTGAGTCTGGAAGTAGTCTGTTACGTTTTTGTTCAGAAACACCACCTTATGGTCCCTACACGGTTGCTCCAAATCCAAGCATCAGGAGGGCATTTGAGGCAAAGAGGGGGAAAAGTGGCCCAGCATATCTGTCCCATTTGTCAGGAGAGTATCACTCCTCCACTTCCACCCCACCAACCAGAACCCTACACATCTGTAGCTCTAAGAGCACTGGAGAACACAAAAAGTGAGCTTTTCTGGTCTCTGTGTTAGAAGGCAGAAGGGAGAAGACAGTTGGGAAGTGGAGTGTCCACTACAGAGGGGGCATTTCAAATGAGCACAGGGCCACTCTGGGCATCAGTTTCCTTATCTACAGAGCAGAGGTTCTAGGGGTAAACTTGAGCATAAACTCTGAGGTTTCTTGCATGTCTGAACTATGTACTCGTGAAGTCAATGTAAGTGAGGGTGAGGACCTCCTGGCGCCAAAGTCCATGACATATAGAGGTCCAAGGTACTCTCTTCCGCGTCTGCTGATTCCTAGGAAGTCCCTGGCTTCCTGAGGGATCTCCTTCTGTTACCACATCCCACAATCACCTTGATAGTGAACCCACCCACAGCAAACAAAACCAATCAAACCAAAGTGTATAAATCAGGGCTTGTGGAGGTGAGGCTTCTCCCCTGTCCTCTGCCCCTTTTTTCCCTTCCCCCGTCAGCAATGCATGTGAAGGACCCACCCAGTATGGCAGAGCCAGGCACAAGGAGACAGCTGCTTTGGGAAAGGGGTGTGGCCTTGGGCCAGGTGGCTGTCTCCTACAGAGGCAATCCCCCCAAAGGGCTGAGGGCAGAGGGCTGTCTTCCTGCACACTTCCAGAAGCAAGTCCTTCATCCCTAGGGGGCCCTAGACAGAGTGCCAGTGTCCCCAGCAGGAAGGAAGCCTGGTTTGGCTAAGCTGCAGGTCCTCACGAGGCAGAGTGGCTGAGTTGGGACAGAGTGTGTGACTAGAAACCTCTGTGAGGCTTCAGGCCCCTGTTGAGGGTTGTCAGATGCCCACGGGGGCATACATGGAAATGTTGCTCTGTTGACATTTGCTGCATGAAGTGGAAGTAACCAGGTGAGCAGGTGAGTGAGTTGTAGGGGTGAGATGGGGGAGGTGGAATGCTGTGCCTGACATTTGTATGGCAACAGCAAAAGGCATACACCCCATCTGTTTAAATATTTAACTTAGAAGTTAAGCGATAAAACAAACTGCTCAACAAAAACACCTCTCTCCTCCTAACTTGACCAAATAGTATTTCCTACAAACTTTGAGGCCAGGTTCAATCTGAGAATTCTTAAGACTCTTGAGTTCCATGCCCAAAAAAGCCAGAGCCCACCTATTCTGTTTTGTCTCCTGTCTGAAGGTCTTGCAACCTCGGCCTGCAGCACTCAGTCCCTGGAAGGTCTGACCTGGGAAGAGGGCCATGGCAGGCCAGGGATCGCCGCAGGTCCCGGGTTCCAGGGTGTGGTCCAAGCTCAATGTGGGCGTGCACCCTGGCCATACAAGCCCTGGGATATTAGAGGGGTGAGGCAAAAGGACCATAGCTGGGTTCCCTGGGAAGCTGGCTCTGAGATGGAGTGAATCCACACTTCTGGGGGTGCAGGAAGGGAGTGCAATGTAATGGGGTAGGGGAGAGTTGAGGTTAGCCTCCGTGTGTGACCCCACAAGAGCCAGAAAGTGAAAAGAGCCCTTGAGAATCATCCTGCTTTGAATGGAGGTTAGACTCCCACAGCCCTCAGGTGGCTCTCTGCAGCAGAGAACGGGATCCCAGTGGCAGGGTTTCAAGAACAAGGATCTGGGCGCTGTGCCTCAGTGTCCCCCACAACAGGGTCTTTTGCCGGAGTCTAGGGGCTGTAAAGGTCGTAGAAGATGGGATGAAGGATGGTGGGCCTTCCTGGGACTGGAGCAGGTGTTTGACTTGGAACCGGGGACCCGCAGTGACAGCCATCTCTCCCCCCTCAGTCTGCCTTAAGGGCACCAAGGTGCACATGAAGTGCTTCCTGGCCTTCCCCCAGCCGAAGACCTTCCACGAGGCGAGCGAGGACTGCATCTCGCGCGGGGGCACGCTGGGTACGCCGCAGACAGGCTCGGAGAACGACGCCCTGTACGAGTACGCGCGCCAGAGCGTGGGCAGCGAGGCCGAGGTGTGGCTGGGCCTCAACGACATGGCAGCCGAGGGCTCCTGGGTGGACATGACCGGCGGCCGGGTGGCTTACAAGAACTGGGAGACCGAGATCACGGCGCAGCCAGACGGCGGCAAAACCGAGAACTGCGCCGCCCTGGCCGGCGCGGCCAACGGCAAGTGGTTCGACAAGCGCTGCCGCGACGCGCTGCCCTACGTCTGCCAGTTCGCCATCGTGTAGCCGCTGGCTGTGCGGCCGAGGAGGGAGACCCGGGGCGGGAGGGGTAGGGGTGGCGGGGTCCCGGGGAGGGGCGGGGATCGCGGGGTCCGGGGATCTTAGGGCGCCCGGGGAGTGTCAGGGGACACCTTGCTGCTCCCGCCCTGGTGCCTCCTCTTGCAATAAAGTCGGTGCAACTTCTGGAGTCCCTGGGGTCTGTGCTGGGTGCGCCGGGCGGGGCGGGGCCGAGCGGCGGGGGCGGACTCGGGAGGCGGGGCGGGACTCCGGGAGGCGGGGCCAGAAGGCTGGAGCTGCATATGCCAGAAGCCAGCTGAGCACAAGGGTTCCCACCACCCAGGGATACACAATGGGAAGACCGGACAGAGGACCGGGTCGGGGGAAGGGAGTGAGAGAGAGTGGCTCTTTTTCTTTTTATAACTTTGTGTACCTAATCTCAGACTTCCAGAAAAGTTCCCCAGATGTTATCATTTCCTTATATTTGCCTAAGCCTTTTATTAGTTTTTGACAGTAAATGCATTCGATTCCCGTTTATCCCTAAATACTTCGGTGTGTGTTTCCTGAAAGCAAGGATATGGTCTTCCACAAGCAACAACACGTTTATCAAAATCAGGAAATAAACTGATCTGGTATTGTTATCTAAGTTACAGTTGTTATTCAAAATTTCAGGTTTCTTTTTGTAGACCCTCTTCCATCTGTTGGAATCCTGCACACCCACCACCCCCTCCATTTCTCCTCTTCCTGGGGATCTGGGATGCACTGAAATACTGGGACCTGCTGTGGGGTAGGGGAGGAGTGGGGAACATCCATCCACCTTCTACCTCAACACACCCTGGGGCTGGGGGTGGTGGTGGTCCAGGAGCCGAATGTGGCAGTCACCAACACTTCCCCACCAATGACCAAAGTGTCCCCTTCCTTCATACTCACAGAAGGCTAGTCAGGGGGTCCAAGTGTTGCTCCATGTTATCATGGAGCAGTTTTGTGCCCACCATATTGGAGGAACTTTTACTATTATTAGTAGTAGAAGTAGTACCACCAGAGGTGCTTAACCACTGAGCCACATCCTCAGACCCTTTTAGTTTTTATTTGGACAGGGTCTCACTAAGTTGCTTAGGGCCTTGATAAGTTGCTGAGGCTGGCTTTGAACTTGCAATCCTCCTGCCTCAGAGTCTTGAGCTGCTGGGATTACAGACGTGCATCACCATGTCGGGCATGGAACTTCAAACATGTCACTGGTTTAGTTTTATCCACCCAGGATGAGAGGTGTCATGACCATCATTTTACAGGAAAGGATATAGAGGCTCAGGGAAGTTCAGTGGCTTCTATTGGTCACAAAACTAGTAAGTAGTAGCTGAGTCAGAATTTAACCTAGGGTTCATTCCAAAGCCATTGGCCTTTGTACCACCACTGCATGTTTGCTTTCTGTGACTGGAACTTTCCTGAAATAAAATTAAGAGGTGGTCTAATGTTCCCCAGAGGGTATTGACCAGCTCCTGGCATGACCTGGCCCAGTCAATCACCGTAAACCCAGCTCTAGTGACACCTCCCTGGTGACATTTTCTGCACCCCTCAGCAGTGGCCATCGCTCTACTGTCTGGATTTCCATAGCACCTTTTGCTCCCTATCTTCTATTGTGTCTTGCCTTCAGTGATAAATGGATGATAGTTGATATACTGATGTGGTGGGTTGGGGAGGCAGCTTACAGTGAATGTTGAACCTACTCTGTGCCAGGAAGTCTGTTTGTCATTATCACAGAAAGCATCTCACAAAACTTAACATATGGGAGGAGGTGATGAGATCCGTTGCTGGAAGTACAGAAACTGAGACTCAGAAGGACGATGCCATATGTTCAAAATGGTCCAGCAAGTGAAGGACAAAGCTGAGGCTCAAATCTGTCTTGAAACTCAGTTCTGAACTCTTTGACCCCCACTCCCTGGGGCTGAGAGTGGCCAGGGTTTTTTCAGACTTCTTAAAATGAGTGGCTGCCCTCAAGAGGACACCACTAGCCTCTGTGAGAGTAGGATCTGGTGGGAAGGTAGTCACTAGGCCACCATCTGGGCAGGCAGCAAGCATTACCTAGCTCCAGCAGCAGGTGGCAGTATGGGCAAGAGAATCACATCTTTTACCTACCTCTAATGCTCTTGCATGTGGGACACCTGTTCTCTGATTTTGTCTCCTTTTTTCGGAGGTTCTCATTGCTGGCCTTGAGCTCCTGGGCTTCTGGGAGCCTCCCACCTCAGCCTCCTGATGAGCTTGTCTTTATTTTAAATTTCACATCTTGTTCATCATGAATATTTTAGCATTAAATATGAAATGATAGTGTGTTCAAATACAATTGATCTGCTTATGGAGGATTTTCTTTGGCATCCCCTTAAATTTTGTTATCCCTGGCGAGTGCCCCATCCACCTTAGTCCCTGATCTTCCTCAGAGGTAAACTTGGGAGCATGTTTTTAGATGTAATACAATGATAGTTTTAAGGGAATCAGTGTCTAACTCTTCATCTTCTGAACTGCACTACCCAGGCACAGGCTTGGGTCAGAAGCCTCCCCTCCTGTTTTCTCTTTAAAATCACCTTTTCCCCTTTTTACAACAGAAAGGCCACTCTTTCACCCATCCTGATCTTACTATGGTGTGTAGAAAGCTTTGGTGATGCCAAACAAAGGGACAATTTGAAATATTATTAGTGTAAGGGTTGAGAAAGTAAAAGACGGGGCAAACCATCTGTTATGCTTTAGATGTATGGTGTCCCCCAAAAGCTCACATGTGAGACAATGCAAGAACGTTCAGGGGTAAAATGATTAGATTATGAGAGTTGTAACCTGGATTGATCCATGGATATGGATTCACTGGGTGGTAACTGTAAGCAGGGAGGGTTTGGCTGGAGGAGGTAGGTGACTGCGGCAACCCTTTGGGGTTTATATTTTTGTCCCTGGTGAGAGACGTTCACTCTGTTTTCTGGTGGCCTGAGGTGCTTTCCTCCATCACGCCCTTCTGCCATGATGCTCTGCCTCATCTTGGGCCCAGAGATATGGAGTCAATGTCTATGGAATAAGACCTCTAAAACCAAAGACCTCTGAGCCAAAATAAACTTTTCCTTCTCTAATTGTTCTTGTCAGGTATTTTAGTCACAGAGATGAAAAGGCTGACTAAAACACCATCCTTTTGCAAATTTAGAAGTTTTAATCCTTTACCTTCAATACCTTTAGGGACGACCCTAACCAAATTATCAGCCAATAGACCATACAAAATAATTCCCGACAATTAAACACTTTTGACTTGAACCTAGAAGTTCAGGTGTTAAGTGACAACCTGGTAACAAAACTCCTTGTGGTCCTACCAGCGTATTTATCTGCACAAGATTTCATTTTACAAGTATAAAAGTGAAAAAATAGCAATAATGTCAATGCTGAATCCTGCTTCCTTCTAGGACTCATGAACCAATTTTTAAACAACCTACTCATCTGATTATAAAAATGTATGAGATGAATCTGTGATGTCTTGATCAGTTGTGTGCTAAGAACATGTGCTAGTCAGCTTTTCATTACTGTGACAAAATACCTTAAATAATCAGCTTATAAAGTGGAAAGGTTTATTTTGGCTCATGGTTTCAGTCTATACTTGCTCAAGAGCCCCCTTGCCTTTGGACCTGTGTAGGCACAGTACATCACAGCGGGAGTACGACAGAAGAAAATCTCACCTCATGGCAGTCAAGGAGCAAAAAGAGAGGGGGTCCCAATATCCTCTTCAAGGGCACACCCCCAGTGACCTAACTTTCTTCCACCACCTCCCAAATAGCTCTACAAGCTGGGGATCAAGATTTCAACACATGAGACTTGGAAGAACATTCCTCACCTAAACTAAAGCCCAGCAACTGTGTTGGGGAAATGCTAACAAAATACGTTTGAAGAGCACTGGCTTAAAACCTGTCTCTGGGAACAGTGGTGCTCTCAGTGTTTGTGGGGATGGCTGAGCAGGAGTGGCTTCCCGCTAGGGGTCTTCTGGGTCTTCCTGCCAGCCCTGCCTCAATGATGTGCTGGGGTCCCGCACTCAGGCCTGGTTGCACCCACTCGCTCCCCTCTTCTCATCACCTCTGCTGTTCCTGTCTCTTTCCCAATGGGCCCTTTCTGCCGCTGTTTTCCCCCTACCTGTCCCAGCAAAGGGGAGAGAGAACCGGAAACAGGAAGTGTAGAAGGAGCCATGAACCGGAAACAGGAAGTGTAGAAGGAGCCTTGCGGGCCAGGACAGCTCAGTTCCGGTGGAGAAGGGGCTGCGCTGGCTGACCTACAGATGGTTATGGTGGCACTGAGTGTGGGCCTTGAAGATGGCCAACAGAACATCCTTTCTTCATCCTCAAAATGAAGTTTGGACTAGATGATTCCTGAGACCCCTGAGTCCAGGATTCCACCCAGCTGTCTCAGGACTGTCACTGTGGAACCCCCTTCAGATAAGAAAGGTGTTTCCCAGCTTGGGAGGCTGAGGCAGGGAGGATCAGAGTTCAAAGCCAGCTTCAGCAACTTAGTGAGGCCCTGAGCAACTCAGGGAGACTCTGTCTCTGAATAAAATACAAAAAAAACCTGGGGATTAAAAAAAAAAAAAAAAAAGCAGCCATTTGTGGGCTGTGTCCTCTGCCCAGGCAGGGGTCAGACCTGCATTGGCCATTTTATTTTCTGCAGAGGCCAGAGGCCTTTGTGCTCTCTCTCTTGCATTCCAAATATGTACAAATTCAGATGCCCAGTGGACACTGCCTCCCGGAAGTCCTTAGGCCCCTACTTCAACAGATTTAAAGGGAACTTGCATACACGGCTTTGCTTCATCTGAAAACAGCTTCAACCACTGGATAATCCTGATGCCTCAGACCTCCAGGCAATAATTCTTCTTTTGATTTTGGCAAAGAGAAAACAGGGATATTAATAAAATTTAAAAAAATTTAATTTTAATATTAAAATTAAATAGTAAATATTAATAAAAACAAAGAAAACGAACAACTTTTTGTACTGACCAGGAAACCCTTTATTATGAGCTTGGCAACAAATCTAGAAGTTGCATTTACTATTCAGAAACTCAGGAGGAAGGTATTGCCCC